GACCCCTTGTTGCTGTGTCCCATTTCTGGGACATAGCAACAAGGGATGACCACGTCATCCTGCCACTCTCCACCTCTCAGTATTTTAGATGCCGTTATCATAACCCACCTATCTCTCTCGTCTTCCAGTGTCGTCAGGTCGATTTCCCATAACCTCTCCTGGTAGGCCATACCCCTTAGCTCCTGGACTAGTCTTGTTGCAAATCTTTGCACTTTCTCTAGTTTCCCTACATGCTTGACTAGGTGAGGGTTCGAAAGTGGCGCTGCATACTCCAGTATGAGCGTAACGTATTCATTGTACAGGGTCCTAAATGACTCTTTGTTAAGATGTAGGAATGCTGTTCTTTGGTTTGCCAGGCGCCCATATGCTGAAGCAATTATTTGGTTGATGTGCCCCTCAGGAAATGTGCCCAGTGTTATACTCATCCCAAGATCTGTTTCTTTGAGTGAGGTTTGAAGGCTCTGGCCCCCTAGACTGTACTCCATCTGTGGTCTTCTTTGCCCTTCCTCAATCTTCATGACTTTGCACTTGCTGGGGTTGAACTCCAGGAGCCAGTTTCTGGATCAGGCCTGCAGCCTGTCGAGATCCCTCTATAGTTTTGCCTGGTCCTCGTCCGACTGAATTCTTCTCATCAACTTCACATCATCTGCAAACAGGGACACTTCGGAGTCTCTTCCGTCATGTCGTTCACAAATACCAGAAACAGCACCGGTCCTAAGACTGACCCCTGTGGCACCGCGCTCGTTACAGGCGCCCACTCTGACATCTCGCCACGTACCATGGCTCGCTGTTGTCTTCCTGATAGGTATTCCCTAATCCCTTACAGTGCCTTCCCTGTTATCCCTGCCTGGCCCTCCAGCTTCTGCACTAATCTCTTGTGTGTGTGTTTGTGTTTGTGTGTGTGTGTCTTGGGTGGGCATATTATTATTATTATTATTATTATTATTATTATTATTATTATTATTATTATTATTATTATTATTATTATTATTATTAATATTATCATTATTTCTATTATAATTATCAATATTTGGAAGAAGCGCTATACTCATGGGAGTTTAGCGGGAGTCAATAAGATCTGATCCATGGAATGGGAGAACAGCTTAATTTCCATGGACTAAGAACTCACCTGCATGGAGGTACCTTCCTTGTTGCGTTTGTTGGAGATAATAAATTTAGACTAACATATTTCACAGTACCAATCACAGTGCCTCTCTGAGCGTATACCTGCTTCTGTACTGCTAATCATGCTTCCTGTCTGTGTGTGTGCATGCTACCCAGCATTATGCCTCTCTGCCTGCTTGCAAGCATCATTTACATCTATTCTATCTTTAATCTCTCTCCCCATCAGGGATGGCAATAGAGGGATTAGCGGAGGACTTGCCCTACGATCTGCTAACATTGAAGGTGTACGTCAGTTCTGACCACGTCAGGAAGATCCCTTGGACTTAACAACCTGTGGTCGGCCTGCTTCTTCGGTCAGTTATTTGTTGCTCCCTATCATCCAGTTCTTAGAAGTTTAGCAAAGATGGTGTGACTTGCCCGCCCAACTTCAGAGATGAGTACTACTCATTAAGGTTCCGTTATGCTCATATTCTATTCAAGTTTACACGAAATACGAAAAAATCCATTAACATTTCCATTAATATTACAATCTAGAAGCGCATTACCACTGTGAATATAATTGCTATGGTTTCCTTCATTTTTCAAAAAAAGAAAATTGGTTTCTTAAAATCTATGTATTTGTTTACTTCACTTACGCTTGTAATGCATTTTCCTTATTAATTTTTTGTACGTCTTGCCAACGTAAGAATAATCATGCACAGCAGTAGCGAAGCAGCAGTAAAATGCTGGAATATGAACATTATCTGACGTTCTCACGTCCCTCCAAGTCGTCTTATTATTCTGGGCAGTTGTTTGAGAGGACCAATAAACATTCACTCGGACTGTTTCAAGTCTGATTCATACATGTGAAGGAGTGTGAACAAAATATCAAAGTCAGTTAGTCTGTCTGCCTCTGTCTTCCTCTGTCTCTCTGTGTATGTCTCTGTTTCTCTGTCGATTCGTCTCTCTCTCACTCTCTCCTTGTAGCGTGCAGATGTGCCCTTATTTAGTACCCAGAGATTAATGGATAACATTTGCCTCCAAAACATGAAACTAGACATCATGTTTCTTAAAAGATTTATAGATGATTTTATTTACTTCTGTGGACTCAAATATTTAAGGATAGTAACTTATTTATTATGCTAGTAGCCTTCTCTCCGACGAGAACATGGTACATAAAGTAAACTCTCGATTAATTTAGAGTTTATTGAGATCAAGGCAAAGACGAACATCATGAGAGACGTGACCTACTTTTAGAACCATGAGGAATTAGAGACCAGAATTCCCGAGAAAGAAAATGTTGATGTTTTACACTACTATAAAGTAGATATACCACTAGAGAGTCTATAACAGTCAACCACGTTATTTTAACCAAGAGATATGACATACTAATAACAAAGAAAATAACAGTCTCATTTCTAGTAAGTGAAGTTGACTATTCAGTTAACATTAGAGTAATTGACATAAATAAACTGACATACATAAATTCCTTCACAGAAAGTCCCTTGTTATGTAAAGCATTTCAGGCAGCCTTAAATTTGACTTATAATCACTAGACAGTGATGCAAATATGTCAGTTTACTAAAATGTTATGGTTTGCCTTATTTGACATTTAAATATAGCGACAATTTACAATATTATATTATGAGATCTTGTGTAACAATTTAGCACAATATATGTATTGAGGAATATTGTGGAAGATTTATTTGGTTACTAAATATATTGAAACAGATTAGTGATAGTGAGAGCATCAGTATGAATGCTAATATGAACTGGATCAACAGGGTTACTATTGATACATCAAGATCAAGCATAAGTAAACGTAAGATGTCCAGTAGTTCGATCGCTAGCGCTCTCAGCTCACACTCTGTCTCAGATGGATATGTATGTCTTAGTTTTGGGTGGATTTTGAGATGAGTGATCTTAGTTTTAGTGCTCTTGGTTATAATGTTTTGAAGGAATGTGTAAAAACTTGTGATATTTTAGTGATCATAGTGGATTTGAGATGAGTGATCTTAGTTTTAGTGATCATAGTGGATTTGAGATGAGTGATCTTAGTTTTAATGATCTTGGTTATGTTTTGAGAGAATGTGTATAAAATGTGTGATGTTTTAGTGATCATAGTGTCTTGTCCTAAGTGTTCTTAGATTTTTTTTTTTTTTTTGGTACATGATGGTGATCGTAACATGGTATTTTTGTGCTTATGTCTTATTTTGTAAATAAGTCTTAGATTTTTTGGGATATATCTTAGATTTTGGTTATGTCTCACGTTTTAAATTTGATGTGATCATATTGTGTAGTAGTTGGGGGGTATGTTATAGTGCTTATTTTATGGCTTATTTTGTGTTCATGTCTTAGATTTTGAATATGTCTTAGTTTTGGTTATGTCACATGTCTTAGATGAAGGCGTATGTTTTAGTTTTTGTGCTCATGTTATGTCTTAGTTGGTGGTTCTTAAATTTTTTTTGGGGTACATGATATGTTATAGTTGGTGGTGATCGTGACTTGGTATTTTTGTGTTTATGTCTTATTTTGCATATATGTCTTGGATATTTGGATGTGTCTTAGATTTGGTGTATGTCTCATGTCTTGGTTGGAGGTGTATGCCTTAGTTTTCGTGTTCATGTTGTCTTAGTTGGTGGTGTCTTGGTGTTAGTTTTTGGTGTGTATGTCTCATGTCTTAAATTCGTGATCATGTATTAGTTGGTGGTTATGTTATGTCTTGGTGGTGTGTGTTAATTTTGGTAATATCTCATGTCATAATTTGGTGTGATTATGATATGTCTTAGATGGGTGTGTTCATGTTATGCCTTAGATGGTAGTCATAAAAAATGTGATCTTAGTAAAAGTATCTTTGTGAGTTATGAATGAAAAATCAAATGAGAAATATGTGATTGATTATGTAATTTGGTGGTAGAGTTAGAAATGTTAAACGTTATTTGGGAGTATTCATTGGTGTTTGAGAGAGTTTTGGAGGTGTTCAAGTGATGTGTGAGAGTGATCTGGGGGTGTCTGTGTTATTTTGGTAATGTCTCATGTCATAAGTGTATGAGTTAGTTTTTGTTTTTGTGATAATGTTGTAAAGTCTGGAGAATGAGGGAGTACTTTGGTGGATGAGATGTAATTTTAGTTAATGAAATGTCTAAGTGTGGATTAGTTAGAGATGTCAAATGCTATTTGGGGGTATTCAAAATGTTATTTTGGAGGTATTCAAAGTAATCTGAGAGTATCAAATGTTGTGTTGGAAATGTCCCGATGTAATTTGGAAGTGTTCCAATGTAATTTGGAAATGTTCCAGTGTTGTTTGGAAATATTCCAATATTGTTTGGAAGCGTTCTAATGTTATCCCAAAACCTACTTTAAATCTTGGTTAAAGTGATTTTTTTATGGAATGTGTAAAAAAATTGTGTGATCTGTGATCTTAGTGTCTTGTCCTAAATGTTCTTATATAATGGTAATCATGAAATGGAGTTGATGGTCATGATTTTTTTGTTTCGGATGAGGTGTGTAAAAATATGTGTTGATAATCTTAGTTTCTGATGATCTTAGTGTCTTGTCCTAAATGTTCTTAGATATTGGTTTGTCATGAGGGGGAGTGAGGTGTTGAGAGATGTGTGTGTGTGTGTGTGTGTGTGTGTGTGTGTGTGTGTGTGTGTGTGTGTGTGTGTCCTGTTTTTGCGGATATTATCGAGACAAGTGAATCTTTTGTCGTATTAGCGAAATCTTAATTCTCAATATGTAAAATTGTGACAAGTGAAAGATTTTGTTGTATTTACCGAAGCTGAGGAATTTTTGGGTTATTCTGGGTTAAGAGTGAAATTGTGTATTAGTGACATTAAACATCCGAGAAAAAAAATTCGTATCGAAAGAGGAGAAATTGTTGCTGAATTGAGACAAGTGAATTAAGGGTGAATAGTGTATGACTTGTATCTTTTTTCATGTATTAGCGAAAATTTGTAAGTGTTGTGGGTGTCCTGTTTTTGTGAATATTATTGAGACAAGTCAATCTTTTGTCGTATTAGCAAAATCTTAATTCGTAATATGTAAAATTATGACAAGTGAAAGATTTTGTTGAATTTACCGAAAAAGTGGTTATAAGTTGTAAGTGTTGTGGGTGTTTGTAGTTCTGAATGTCATATACAAGGCTATAAATTATTCCACACTGACAGGGTCAACAAGAAGGTTGGTGGAGTAGCGATGTATGTCAGAGACAATTTAAATTGTCTCTGATTACACAACATTGTATTCTAATTACACAACATTGTATTTACGCCATCGCAAGTATCCGGCTATCAACACGACTCATCAAAGACTGAATGCTCCTTCTGCTGGCCCCTCCCTCTCTCTCCTATGGCACCTCCCACTTCGGGCTCCTCTTATATTATGCTTGCTTTCCATTGTGAATTTTTATTCACACAAAAAGCAGATTTACTGTTATACAGACTACTGCATTATTGACAAAAAAATGTATAAATAATATCAACGCATTTGTGAAAGCATATTAGATCCATCAGTTGATGTGTATTGGGCGTGTGACATAATTTATTTACTCTTGAACATCAGCAAAAAATCGAACATTTCCGCTACTTTGAGCTCAATTTCAAGGTACTTTTCTTCTGTAAACCACTCAAAATCATATCTATTTCTGTAATGTATCTTTCATTCTATCAAATGAGACCTAGAGAACGAGAATACAATCATAAATATCATACGAAAATACACCGCGAGGTCACTGTAAATGTATTTTTGTGGTTCTGAAACGGATTAATCTAATTTACATTACTGCTTATGGGAAAAATTCGTTCAGTATTCCAATAGAACGGCACTCGAACAGAATTCTGGAACGAATTAAGTTCGAGTACCGAGGTTCCACTGTAATCCTGTTATTAATACTAGAAACACCAAGTTCATTTCTCGTATTAAGAACCTTGATAGATTTAGGGCAGCTAAGTATAATTCTGGTGGCTTCATTTTGCATTAGCTCCGAGGGCTGGGCATCGTAGAAAGTAAGTTAGCCTAGAGAAGGATAGGCACCTGATGAGAAGATGGAAGGCATCATCAGCATCAAAATCACTGATCTTGGTTTCCATCCACTTAATTCATAGATTTTATTTTCATGATCTCATTCGTAGCTTTAGACTCAAGTAGGATCAACGATTTTAACTCCTTGCATGGCAGATGTGACTGGTCTCTGAAATGCATACTGGGACACCAGTATGCACTTCAGAGACCTGTATTCTCTTTGCTTTATTATAATTCTGATGTTTTCTACAAGGGATTCGGCGGTGCCCGTTAGTGTGCCATCATCCCAGAACAAGATACAGAACTCCCCGGTCAGGTCCTCAGTGACCATTTTTTTATTAAAAAAAAAAAAGAGAGGGGATGAGAGGGTGTTTCTGCTGGACTCCACCTGAGTCATTTTCGTACTCTCCAGAGATAAGTTTCGAGTCACTGTTGTAGTAAGAGTGAATACACAGATAAAGGGCTGCGAATAGTAATGAACAGCGCTGAGTATAACATCACTTTTGACTGAATCAAAGCATTTGCAAAGTCAAATTTGTTCACGGATTTTTGGCACGTGAGGTTATTGATGTATGCACGTGCTGCATGGATTCCAGTTTCGCAACTTTGCATGGTCTCAGAATGATGACTGTATTTCGACTCACTCTTCTCACTCTCGTGTCCTGGTAGCAAGGATGGTTTTATAACAACCATTTCTGTAACATGGTTGCATCAGCGGTCTCACCGTTTTCACAGTTTTCTTGATACGTCTGTTTTCATCCCCTCAAACCCATATAGTTTTAAAACCAAAGATAAGGTGTGATAAATGGTTTTGAAAACCGACAGTTGAAGATTCAGACACATATGCAACATATGGGAATCTTTATTAAGGAAACGTTTCGCCACGCAATGGCTTCATCAGTCCGATACAAAGTAGAAATGGGTAAGGAGATGATCAGTTTGAGGTAATCAGTCCCTCAGCCTGGAATCGATGTGTTCAGTCCATGACTCTTGTAGAAAGTGCAGCATATAGCCGAAGTAACTTATATACTGTAGTCAGGTGAGTTGAAGCAGGAGGAGGCGGGATTATAGTGGAACCTTCCACTAGTCTTGATAAAGATTCCTATATGTTGCATATGTGTCTCAATCTTCAAAGATAAGGTGTAATGCACAGCTGTCGATGAATAAAGAGAAGAATTGACAAGGACTCAAATATCGTTGATTATTTACTGTAGAAATATCGTATTAATAGCTATATGTTAACTCAGTATTCAGTATTCAATAGACGGATATTATTTTATTTATGTTAGCCAGTTTTTAATGTTAAGTTTTTCCCGGTGGCACCATTGCCGTATCACCTATTTGCCAATTTGTTTATATGTCCCAAAATGAAGGGAGTCTCTGCCTAAACTAAATGAGACAAAACATGTTTCTCATTAATTTTGAATAACATTAAGAAAGAATCGTTAGGCATCATGAAAAGGCAAAGTTAAAGATAATACAGGAATAACATGTCCATGCGCTCAGAGATGTGATCTTTAAAGATTAGTAAAGTATTCTCAGGATATCGAGCGCTTGAAAAATTTTACATATAAACAACAGACCCAAGTTTTTGTCTATAACATTTTTTTAGAAAGTAGATTTTCTGCCGTTTGATCATAGATTCAATTGTCAAATGTTCTATATGTAATTGTTTCATGGTAATGTTGAATTAATTGCCGGTATCATCAATTAAAACCATAAATCAAATATTCAAGTTAGCAGTAATTAGTTTCGCTGGCTTTGTTAGAAATAAATCAATTATTCTTACCAATTGACTTACATTGCTTGATTAAATAAAAACTATTAAGTGCTGATATTAAATGATTATATAATATTTTCTGATAACATGATATGAGCCGATTAGTTTATATTAACTGATCAGCAATATATTAAATATACTTTTAATTATTATTGAAAGTTATTTCTTACTCTGACAGGTGGAGCGTTGAGAATTTGGCATCAAATATCAGTTGTTGAAGTGGCGGAATCACAGGTATCAGCTGCTGACATCGACTGTAGTGTTGGCATTTCACACACCAGCTGCTGACATCTGCACTTTGGAAACCTGAAATGAAAGTTGCCAAGACCACCTACAGTGCTGGTATCTCAAATGCCAGCTGCTGACACAATCTCCAGTGTTTGTACCCAAGACGCCGGCCAGTTAGTTGTGCTGGTGTGCCAGCTGTTTGTCTTCAGTACCAGATGATGTAGCAGATTTTTTGACCTGAGTACAAGGTGGTGCACTATGCAGTGCAACATGTAGAGAGCCAGGCGGAGCTGCGAAGATCCTCTCGGAGAAACAACATTTACAGCTACTGAAGCGCCAGTCGGACAGCACAGGATTACCTACTCTATTAAAAGCTCTTCCATACAATTTATTAGGTTTACCAAGAGACGCTGTGACTTATCAAATGTTCTGACTTACATAAATAGCAGTGAGAAAATATTTTCCTACCCAGTTGTTAAGAAACAAAAATGCTTTCGGGAAGCCTAGACACAGTGTAAGAGTAAATATATTACACTGTGAGGGTCCTCTTGTGTTAGCAGCAGTGTGTAGTGTAGTTCTTGAAAGTTACTCATTGTTTCTTGGAAAAGCCTCGCCAGGCAGTTTCTTCGACGATGGTGAGTCAATGTTGAGTCAACCTTCTTTATTACTGATTCACGACATTCAAAAGAAGAGGAAACTTACTTTCGTAATGAGTCATTGGTCTTCAAGATAATGTAACTCTCATCACCTTCTTATTTGCTCTTGTTCATGACTTTCTGAAACAAAGTGAACATGTTCAAGGAGAGGTTTTGTGTGTTTTAGTAAACAACCTGGAGAGATTGTAGCTTGAGGTGTTGAGAGCTTATTTATATTGAGAGTTTATTTATATGCTGTCGGTATAGTATACCAACTGCATATAAATAAGACACACAATGAATGTTATGGCATTTTATTTGAAAGACATTTCATCCACCATGAACTTTATAATTTCCCAGTGATAAAGTTCATTGTGGACAAAAGCTTCATCAGAATAAAATGTCATAATCCGCACTGTGTGTCTAGTTTAAACAACTTCCAAGATGCATAAATATATGTAACGTAACTGTGTACATTCTTTTGATTCTTCCTTCCTTTCTTAACACTCTGCTTTTTCCCAATTTCATCTATTTTCCTCAACATCAGGAATTTACTTGCAGGGGATAGATACACTTTGGATAAATTTTAATTAATCTTCAGACATAATTCGAGTTTTCAACCTCCATGGAGTTATCATTCGTATCAAGGACTCCTTTCCATCTGTTTCTTCTTCTTACTTCAAAAAGAAAACAAGCTTGCTGGAGCTTCAGTGGTAATCTGAACAATTTTTAGTTTTCAGGGATTCTCCTCCTCAAAGAGCACTCGTACCATTCAGTCGGAAAATCATTTTATCGCGTCATTACTATTTCCCAACTCAATATATTATTTTGTCAAGCCATTATATCTTCGACGAACACGTGTTTACGAGTGACGCCAATATCTCCATTATGTTCGCGAGGTGCTCCATTAACACGAGTATGGTCGTGAGAAGCGCCAATACTTCCATAATTTTTGCGAGAGCATTATAGAGGTATTGGCGCAATAGTACCTCCAATATATAACGCTACGTCCAACACGCTTGTGAAGGCACTGGTACCTCCATGAGGCTCTTGAGAGGTACCAGCACCTCCAGTACGGTCATGAGAGGCAAGGCACCAGCAATGCCAACATGCTTGAATTTCTCCAACATATTCGTGAGAAAGTTGGAGTACCTCAGATATACTTGCAAAGCGTCTGACTGCCTCCCACTTTTAGGTACTGGTGGAGCACCAGTACCTCCAAAAACTTTAAAGGGGCACCAGTACCTACAACCTAATAATACAGGGCATGGATACCTTCAACATTGTATACCAAAAGAGAATTAAACCCATTCTTGAGAAGCCTTTATAAATATAACTAATATTCTTCTCTGTCCACAGTTTTCTTCTCCTACCTCATCCGTCTACTAGTCACTGATCCAAAGTAGGAGAATATTTTTTTTTTAAATTCTCAATAGGCTGGAGATGGTTATAGCAGCGTCTTCGGCCTCAGCTCTAACAGCGTTAGTGAGAGAGAGCTAAAACACTGATATTCATGTAGATATATGGTTCATAGAACCGACAAGTTGGTAAATTAGACACATGTGCAACACTTGGGTATCTTTATTGAGGAAACGTTTCGCCACGCAGTAGCTTCATCAGTCCTGTACAAAGAATGGCGATTACATTGACTCCAGGCTGAGGGACGGATTACCTCAACTCCTTCTAATCTTGACCATTCTTCTTTATATAGGACTCATGAAGCCACTGTGTGGCAAAACGTTCCTTAATAAAAATACCCAAGTGTTTCACATGTGTTTAATTTACTGACATTCATGTGTGTGGCACTTGCCACAATAAAACTTCCTAACGGTTAAAAAATCTTACAATCAAACATCCTAAAAATAAAACATCGTAACAATTAAGCATCATAACAGTCAACCATTACAACAGCCAACCAGCAGAAGTACACCAACTTAAGAGTCAACAAGCCTAACCTAACAGTCATCGATCCAACACAACCGCCAAACATCCAGTCAAGCGACGTTACAGTAGTGACTAATAAAATCGTAATAAAATGATTGTAAACAATTCACAGCAAGGATGGGGCTCGATTGTTTGGCAAGTGTGGATAATACACTGGCTTGCGAGTTTTAAGACTCCCTACCCGTGAGTTTAAGCCCCACCCATACTATGATTTGTTACAGTAATCCATCCACCAGCCTATCTGGAAATTAACCTACCAGTCGGTCAGCTAACCTAATAACTAACGTACCAAAGAATCAGCTAACCTATCAAACAATAGTTTAACAAACGAGTCACTCAGCCCACTTAAAATGCTTGACCTAGTAACCAAACAATCAGCAATCAGCTGTCCTACCAACCAGCCAAATGGTCAACTAATCATGCATCCAATCAGCCAACGAGCCTAACAATCAACCATTAGCAATTCTGCCAAGCGGTCAAGCATTTTATCGTAAAACAACTAACCGGCTAACCTAAGAAATAATCACGCAACTAACCGTCCTGTAGCACTAACAACCAACTAACTTACCAACTTATTTAATAGTTGTATATCCTACCAAATAACCTGCAATGCAACCATCAGGTCTGCCACTATAAGACTCCCCCAGGCAACGTATTCAACAGCTAACCGTCCAGCCGATTTACCACCTGATCACACTCAAGCTAATAATCGATCAGCCACCCTAACAAATGGTCACATACTAACAGCTGGCCCGTCATCATACTAATTATTCGGCCAACTACAAATAATTTGGCTAGCTTACCTACCAATCAACTAACCTGCTAATTGGCCAGCTAGCCGACTAGCACTTAACCAATCAACGAGCTTACTAACCTACCAGTCAACCTAACAACCTCCCAGCCACAATAGTAACCTGCCGGCATGCAAACCTATTAACTATTTCGCCAATTAACAGACTAGCAAACCAGTCACCCCACCACCCAACCGTCAAGTCAACATACAAACCAGAAAGCCGATAAACGATCCAGTCTGTCAGCCAACCTACCAACCAATCGGCCAAGCATCCGAAAAAGAGGAAACCAAGTAAAATTAAGCACCAGTCAACCAACCAATTTACCAATCAGCAGAAGAGCCAACCTATCAACAAACCGGCCAGCCAACAAATCAATATCAACCTATCAGTAAGAATACCAGCAAATATAATACCAGCAAGTCACCCAGCCAATCTTACAAACCAGTCGGTAAATTACATTCACTTTTTGCTTAATATTACCAAAGCATTGCAATTCCAGCTCACATACCCATAGCTGTTCTTGTAGTTTCACGAATGTTTCAACATTTTTCCCAGTTCTTCACCAGTCATCTTCATTACTCAAGGGCTCAAACATTCCCTTATTTCTCAGGTTATATATATTATCTATATATATATATATATATATATATATATATATATATATATATATATATATATATAATATATATATATATATATATATATATATACATTATTATATATATATATATATATATATATATATATATATATATATATATATATATATATATATATATATATATATATATATATATATATATATGCAATAAGATCACAGTAAACAGGTGATTTTAAAATATGCAAAACAACCACTATGAAAGAGTAGTGAAATTCCAAGCGCTTTCGTGACTACTCACATTGTCAAGGAATAATAAAAGTAATGCATCAAAGGAAGGCATATAAAGGGTCTAGCCCACACCTCACTGTCACATCCCACAACAAAGAAACACCTGATGCGCGACTCATAAGAAAGAGAACACTGCAGCAGGCCCGCTGGCCCAACTAGACAGGTCCTTCACACAACCCACGAACAAACTATTCTTCCCAAGAATTAAGAATTTTAAAATTTATTATTTGTCCAGTGTATTATTAAATTCTTACCAAATTCTATTAATTATAAATAGATCTAATTTATATAAACCAAAGGAAATATTCATATTATTGTCAAAACAGCTTTTTATGAAACAAGATTCAATTATATTCCTGTCGACCATAGACTTGCTTGATACTACTTTCTCAACTTTTTGAAAATCAATTGGATGGTTAAAAATCACATGAATAAATTGAGCATTAGAGTCTTGTCCAGTTCTGACGCTATATTTAAGTTGTTTTAATCATAGTTCGAGACTTTTACCAGTTTGACCGTAATAAACTTTATCGCCAATTTTACAAGGAATCCTATAGCACATCCGTCAGCATTTTGGGGGGAAATTCTTTATCAAAATTTTTTTTTACTGTATCAAGATTTTTAAATACAACTTTGATACTAAAAGTCTTAAGAAGAGAAGGCATATCACCCAAGTTTCATTGTTCCTTGATAATGTGAGTAGTCACGATAGTGCTTGGAATTTCTCTATTCTTTCACAGTGGTTGTTTTGCATATTCTGAAATCACCTGTTTACCTGTGATCTTATTGCATATATATATCATATATATATATATATATATATATATATATATATATAATATATATATATATATATATAATTATATATTAATATATATATATATATATTAGTAGACCGGTCCAAAAAATAAAATTGTGAAATTGTTCGTTCCACAAGTTTTATTTGTTACACTGTTCCTAAATAACATTCAGACCAATTTTCAGGAAATTTCTCCAACCACTGGACTATGTATTCATCTGAAAAATCGCTGAAAATAGGTGTTTTCCCATGCTGATTTTTCCCACTAAAAGTTCAAAAAATAGCGAGTGTAAATTGTTAATCGTAGTTTCCCATCTTTTCTCTTTCTAATTCAGTATAGAAAATCTCACGCAATTCGCTGCTCAAGTTGAACAAACATCGACATTTGGCCAAACATCCCCTCAAATAGTGAAAAAGTTATTAGCCTCTCAAAAGCATCTAGTCGTGTCGGGTCGAGTAAGGTCGTGTCGAGTCGCTCATTTGTCACACCAACTGCCTGTAAGGGGTCGCTGCGCTCGCTCGCTGTTAACAGTGCTTCCTCGTGTCTACTTGAACGACGATGGTGATGGTGATGGTGATGGTGATCTGCCATGAGGCGAAGAAGGTACTGTTTCTGCTCCTCGTCCATGGTCAGCGACGCATTGAAGGTCTGAACGAGGGAACCAGCTCTTTCTGCTGTGTCGTTCACGACCTTCAAAGAACCCGCAGACTTCTTCATTTCCAGGAACGTCGTGTTCGTCTCCCACGTTTTGGGATCTTCATTCAAGAAGGAAGATTTTTCCTTCCGCTTCCTATGTCAGCAATGACACTAAACATCTTCAGCCTCCTTTTAGTCACGAACTCATCCAGTCCGACTCCGATTTCTAGGATACCTTACAAGTGACGGACCCTGGTTTCTTTTCCCTATCGAGGTTGGCCACCATCTTGCGCTTCATCGCAATATCAACTTTCTCGTCAAAGAACGCCAATCCAATCAGGTGCTTTACCAGATACCAGAGATGGCCTGCAAAGGTGATGGCAGCAGCATTCGTGATCACTTTGGTCACCTCTATCTGGTAGTGTCCCTAACATATGTATGTGTGTGTGTGAAAGGTAAATATGTATGTGATATATGAAACAATATATATATTGTCAGAGTAGGGTGAGAGAGTCATTTGACAGAGGTACAAAGAAACATAAGAGTTCATGAATTCTGGAGCGAGATTGATCAGGTGGATATGAGAAGTGAGAGGAGTGGCATCAGGAGGGAAAAATATGGTGTCACGGAAGTCATACATGGTGCTGCAGATAAACTTGACAGACTTAAATGATGAAGCATTTTCATTGCAAATTAACATACACAGGCTCTGTCTCTTACAAGCCCAACTTCCTAGGTCAATTGTGTAAGAGTTTGTGGTGAACAATTCACTGACGTTTTTGCTCCAAAGATAATTTGTGTTCTTGAGGTGTATATCTACTTCTACAATATTTTCTGTTGTGGTGGAATAAGAATCTTACTAAGATTCAAAGAATTTTCCAAGAATGGAGGAGTGCAGTTGAATTTGCTATTTACCATGCGAATGATGAATCTCTCATTTGTCCCATCTGTGTTTCGAAAAGAGAAAGAAGGAATACCAATACACTTGTAATTTTGCATGGTTATCTTTCTAGTCAGTCACTAAGGTACACAATGCCTCTCTTATTAGCAAGAGAAGGAAACGGGGGGTTTGTCTCCTCTCACATTCAAAACCACTTTATTACTCTTACATCTCTCGTGCTTGTTTAGAGAGGAGTCAGGAGAGTATTGCTTATCTCTTATACGTGTG